GCTTCGGTGCAGACGTTGGGGATCTTGTTCATCTGGAAGTTGAGGACGCCGGTGCACACGAGGCACGAGACGACGGTGGCGACGAGCTGAGCACTAAACGTGTAGCGCGGCGGGATCTTGAGGTAGTGGGCGAGCTTGAGGTCGCCCGAGAAGCGCAGGGCGGAGGCGCAGGTGACGTAGCCGTAGGCCTTGAAGTAGTTCATGGCCAGCGCGTTGCCGCCGGACCAGCTGCCGCCGATGAACTCGGCCAGCACGTTGAGCGTGACCTCGATGCCCGTCATGGCCTTGACGATGCCGACGGGGATGACAAAGACGACGCACAGCACGATGCCGTAGAAGACGACGCCGGGCGTCGTGTACGTCTGCCACCCGGCGATGCCGGCGACGCCAAAGGCCACGGCGGCCAGCAGCACGGCCATGTACCAGAGCTCGGACACCTCGGGGTACGCGGCCATGAGGCGGTTGTGCACGTCCTGGTACGTGCTGGAGGCGTTGTTGCCGCCGTCGTCCTGGACGATGCCGCCGTTGCCCCCAGTGGCACGCTGCGTGCGGTACGCGGCGCGAGCCTCGCGCGAGTAGAGGCGGCGGACGATGTGCCTGGCGTGCGCAAAGACGTTCTTCATGCCCATGACAAACTCGTAGCGGTGGTTGAGGCCGATGTAGACGAGCGTGGCCGGGTAGATGGCAAAGAAGAAGACGTAGACGACCAGATTGCCGGCGGCCAGGTAGGCGGGCGAGTACGCCTCGTAGCGGGCCTGCGAGAAGATCTGGCGGTCGTCGACGATGCGCGAGATGTTGTAGAGCCTGCCCGTGTTGTCAAAGAGGCGGTTGGAGTTGATGGGCAGGTAGCTCGTGTGGTAGCCGTTGCCGTACCAGACGGCGCCGATGACGAGGCAGCCGAGCAGGGCGCCCGCAAACGAGTTGATGGTCGAGAAGAAGGGCACCATCAGCGGGTCGTACATAAAGGTCACAATGTTCCAGTCGAACGTCGGCACGGGGTTGAGGCCCAGGCCGCGGTTGCCGCCGGCCCAGGCATTCAGGTGGAGGTTGCCGGGCGCGATCCACGTCATCCAGCTGAACGTGCTGAGGGCGGTGAAGATGTAGTTGGGGAACCAGAACCAGACAAACATGAGGCCAAACGTGATGAGGAAGAACTTGATGCGCGAGGCGCGCCACACCGAGCGCCACGGCGTCGTCACGGGGCCGGCGTCGTCCGAGTGGAAGGCCTCGTTGAGGGCAATGGTGACCAGGCTGGTCGGCCACACGCAGTAGGCCGGGTAGACCAAGAAGCGGCGCGCCAGGCCGGCCAGGCCGTAGCCGATGAGGCTGGTCGACAGTGCCATGAGGATCTGGTAGCTGAACTGGCCGGCAAAGGCCTGGTTGAAGTACTGCGGCATGTACTGCGTCCAGATGATGTTGTCCGTGTAGGGCGTGTTGTAGGCGACGCTGGCCATGATGGTGATGAGCATGTGCTCCTTCTTGTTGAAGGGGCCCGGGTTCAGCGACAGGCGCGCCGCCGGCGTGCCGGCCACGTCGCGGCCGACCAGGAGCGCGGGCAGCATGACGCCCCAGTCCGGCACGGTCTTTTCCCACAGCTTGCCAATGGGAAACGACAGCAGCTGGGCGACGTTGTTGAGGACGGTGATCTGGGGCTGGCGGATGGAGAAGAGCTGGTTGATAAAGGCCAGCAGCACCGAGAAGCCGATGCCAATGACCCACGCGCGGATCGTCGACACGGGCGTCGTGGTGTCGTCCTGGTTGCTGACGACGGCGCGCACCTCCGCGTAGGGGCTGTTGTTGGTGATGAGGGCGGCCTCGACCTTCATCTCGTAGATGAGGTCGGCGTGCTTCTCGGGCTCGTCAAACACGTATTGGTTGTCTGCGGTGTGAGTGGCCAGCAGTCGACGAGGGAGGAGGGCCGATAGAGCCGATAAGAGCCTCTGTTGACCTACTGATAAAGTTGTGGATCTTGCGCAGAGCCAGATGCGGGAAGTTGGGGTCGTTTTCGTGCATTTTGTACACACCCGTCATGAGCTGGATTGTCAGTATAAGCACACACAGTAAGAATGAAGCAACAAGATGCATGTTGCCACTCACCACCCGAACTTCCTCCAGTGTCATCTGGCCGGCCAATGCCTTGGCTTCGGCCAGATCGCCCTCGGTGACATTGAGCGTGCTGACGTGTTAGTGGTGACAGTGACTACGGATCCAATTATAGAGCAAGACGCACTCTTCGACGTTGGTGTCTGTCGGGTGAAGCTCGTCGTCAATGGTCACGGGCTAGATGTTGTTCGTGTCAGTAGGACGACGAGGATCCCAGTGTTCAATTGGCACCACGTCTCATATGGGAACATACGTCATGCTTCTCGTCGAAGCCGGGCTTGTGGCTCTCGACAATCTCGAGAGGCGGCGCCGGCACCGGCTCCAATACCCCTTTGCTGGTCATCCTGATTTGGTGGTGACTGCTCTTGATACTGGATGTGTCAATATGACCAAGCCGAGATGTAGGACAGCGTTGTTGCGTGATGTTCAGCTTCGAAGGAAACGGAACAAGAAACGACTAGAAAAATAGGCACGGGAGACAAGCTTCGGTTAAATAGACGAAAAGGACCATGCTCGACCGGTAACGTAGGGCGTAGTAGATGGAAGATACGATGGACGACCTTGTTCAAAGGGAGGAGTCACGAATCAGAGAAAAAGGACCAGAATTGCACAAAAAGGAAAGACGCCATCGGAGGCCAAGAGAAGGGAGGTCGAGCACGAGATCGTTGAGTGTGGCCATTGTGGATGAAGCCGTAAGGCCAAGAGCACTTGGTTCAGAAAGGAAGGCGCTCGTCGACGCGTAGGGCCGTATCGCAGCAGTAATAGCCCGCGGATGCGAGATAGACAAGAAGGTGAACAGCGCGAATAATATAAATTAGCAAAAAGTATGGGGAAGCACGTGCGGGTGGATAATGCCAGAGAAGGGTGGTTGGTGGCGCGGGATAGGGTCTAGAACGGAAGGTATCTTTAATTCAGGTGTGGAGGAAGGGGATGAGATGGAAAAATTGAGTAGATGAATGGAGAGCATCTGTGGCCAGATTGTGTTGCTATGTGGCGGCTCACACAGATGTCCTCGCATGGTCGCAGATAATTAATCACTCACTGGCTACATATGCCCAGATGCTACGCCGATGCGGTACGTGTGAAACGCCGAAGAAGGTTGTATAGGGGGCTATAGAAAGAGGCGTTCCGTGCTCACAGACGACCATGACGATACGGACACGGGCGTCGGATGGCAAAGCAGGCATATAGGGCGAGATGGGCTGGATGGGCTAGATAGGAGATGCAGCCAAGATGCAGCCAATGCGACCAGGAAACAACACGAGGGAGGCAAGCAGATGGGGAAGAATGCGTACGGCGTAGTTACGAGCTTCGTTGTACGGTCAAATTATGTTGACTATCGTCTGTTTGCCGATGGTCGCAATCTTGCTGTGCTTGTAGGTAGAGAACCAATCACGTTTTGCAAGGCGCATATAAGTCTATTAGATTTTCACGTTTGCGAACGAGTAAACTGTGAACGTAAGCATAGCTCTGCTCTGAGGTCGATTTTATTGGTGCATGCTTATGTCAGTGCCCTTCGTGCTTTGTTTGCATAGATAACTCGAAGTGGAAGTACCAAAGAAGGGGCTGCATGAACAGGCCAAGTCAAGATCCAGTGAGAAAAGAACAAAAACATGACAAAAGGGATGAAGGTCAATTGTGTAATCTCCTGCCGAAATAGGAAGTTCAAAAGTACAGCACAAACCGACTGCGTAATTACACAGATAGGAAGCGAGAGCGAAACGTGGTCAGTGGTCGAGATTAGGGCTGGGCATCATATGTGGTGTCTGGGCAGATTCTCGGCATATTCTGGGCATGTCCTGGGCCTCATTTATATGTGTAGAGAAATGTGGGAGGTGTTCTCGCTGCGGCACAACAAAACTCTGTCTGTTGGATAAACAGCTGTTGCCACGCACGGAAATACCAAGCACGCAATATAATTTGCACATGAGATATGCGAAGACGAGAAACAAACACCTTTGCATGGGGCTCGGGGGATACTGCAATTCGAGTGGAGAAGAGTCGGTGCGGAGCGGGGAGAAAGAAAAGGTAGAGTACAAAGTAGGCGTGCCGTTGTATCTACGCCATAGGCAAAGCGGAATATGACCAACGCGAGACTGCGTGTAGGGAGTTGAATCTAAAGACGAATCGTTGCAAAGAGGCTGATATGAAGGTCCCTCGCTGCACAGGCTGTTGTCTTCTTGGCGGCTGCTTGGCTGCTCCTTGGCTCAGAATGTCGCCCTTATCTGTCCACTTATCTGTCCAGCCACAGCAAGGACAGAGACATTGGCAAAATGCAAAATGCTCTTCCTATTTCGCCACATCCATGTACGGAGCAGCGGAACCGCCGTCATGTGGCGGATAGAACCGTAAACAAACGGACAATTTTGTCATCGCATTCCCATTTTCCGCGCTTAGCTTTAGCTTCTTGGTGCGTTTCCGGACAGGAATGGGGCACGTTTGATATGGACTGCATATACGCCGGTGTTCATAGCTAAAATGAAATAGTTTATCCAAGGCGAGCTGAAAGACAAAGTTGGTGCCGAAGACATCAAGCGACCCACAACATTTCTAACCATCAAGAACTACACATACAGGAGCTTCTATGATTTTCTAATTACCACAACTACGTACACGATGGCTACCGGGTGGACAACGCTCATCTGTTGAACATCTACTGCTTCACATCAGCTGGGTTGCAAGAAGTGTACCAGGCTACGTATCAGGTAAGAGCCACAAAGACGAAAGTGAAGAGACTCCAGCAGCTTGCTCGGCTCCCTAGGACATTCGATTCTTCATGGTTTCATGGAAAGACAGGGAGCCGGAATTCAAGATCGGATTCAAAAGGGAACACTCCAAAGGGATGGACGAGAAACAGTACGATACAAAGCTCCCTCTGTCGCTTTGTCACCAACGTAATGCTAACATGTGGCCAGACCGGAACACCCCGTGGCGGAGAGGATGGAAGGCCTGGCGGCTTGCCGCCGCCTCTTTACGCACAGCTAATGTTGCACTGGCTTGGCCTCCATGCCCCGCGTCGCGAGATCCTTGTCAAGACCAACGGTAAGCAGTGCGCATCCTTTTTTACAAAATGGAAAAGCCGATGCTGACTGAATAGACATCAGACAGTGGCGTGGCAATCGGGCAGGTCTTGAAGTTTGCCGGCCAGAGGAATCCAAAGGTCCTTCTCCATCATTACCTGGACGACATGAGCACAATTGACGGCGCAGCTATCTTCCTTGGAACGAACCCCAGGAAGGACCTCACGCAAGATTTTCGCTCGGCAACAATGAAGCGGAATGCGCAGCTACCCCAAACGCTGCCGTCCGAGGTCAAGGCAGCGCTGGAGAGCCAGCAGGAATATGCACGCCTGAGCGACAAGCTCGAGCGTCTTGCGCCGGAAAGGGGAACGGCTGCCGAGGCGCAGCGAAAGCAACTGAACAACGAACGGCGAAAAATTGTGCTCACGGCCTTGAAGGACTACCAAATGAGCCAAGTCCAAGCTTATCCCACCAAAACAAAGGAGCAGAGGCGGTGTAGGTGTGGCTAAAGACCGCTGCCCTTCAGAACACAGGACATATGAGGAATCAACCAATCAAGAAGTAAGAAAGATATCTCATCCGCGGTGTGAGACAAGGAATGAGATAGGTATGAGTTAGAGGTTATTTTGTACAGAAAATGAAATCAGGAATGGGACACGAATGAGATTAGCTAGATATATATAGTACTGAAGGCTGCCCTCCTCTGGAAAACGGGATTCAGTCGCTACCGATTGTCTGAAATACAAACCTAACATGAACTCGTATTCCTGTGCCCTCATTATATACAATCACCACTTCTCTCGTATACTTGGAAGTCGCCGATGCATGCAGCCCAACCGACGCTCACAAAGACACAGCACCACGCACCGACGAAGAAATCCAGTTGTCCCTTGGAACAAATCGTTAAATTGACAGCGATTTCAACTAAAAATGGCAACAGAATGGAAATGAATACGTTCAACTATCTGACATACCTCACAAAACAGAACAGTAAAGACAGAACAGTAAACAAAGTAACAGGAAACAAACCAATAGCCTAATCTGTCAGCATGCTGCGTATTGTGCCAAGTGATCGCTTCCGCCAATTCCTCGGACCCGCGAGGCGCCAGGCACGATGCGCCGATTGGTCTAGAAAAACACCTTGTCGGCGCCCTTCTTGATGAACCACCAATCCCCATCAATGTGGACGGTCCTGTTCTTTTTCTTCTCGGTGTCATATATGACCCAGTTGACTTGGTCAACCTTGTCCCGAGTGGGTTCCCACTTGCTCGTGCTGTGACGGCTGCCAGAGGCTCTGTTGCTGAATTCGATAGCACCATTCATGTGAATGTGCCCGGAGACGACCCGCTGCTCACCAGCATAGAGCTCGACACTGATCACGTTCGTATGTGTCCCCACAGTGCTAGACGGATGTGCGTGTGAACCACTTGTATGCGACACTCTGGTCACAAATGCAGTGAAGTTTCAAGATGGAGACTTTGCCTCGCCATTTGACAGGGAAGGTGTGGGTCCGTGTAACCGTAGGGAGGCCTGAAAAGAAGGTTCTGCCCCCGCTACCGATTTTGTAACCACCTACAGAAGTACACGCTTTCTTTCTTGCTCCAAACTAGACCCCTCAACATGTTTGCGGCCAGGTCAATCACCCTCGCCCGACGGTCAATCCCTATGACCCGGTCTTTTCTCACTCATTCTGGAAATCTTCTGGCATCTCGTCGAGCCATGGCTTCATCTCCTCCCGATTCTCCTTCGCCGCCACCCCGAGAATCCAGCAATGGCTGCTCGCCGCGCGTATTTCCCAAGACTGGCTTTGAGGTCATTGACCCCGAGTTTCTGGTCGAAGAGGAGAAGCTGCCCACCTACAACGGCGCAGACTACTACCCAATGCGTCTGGGCAACATTGTTGGCGGCCACTACCAGGTAGTGGCTAAACTGGGCTACGGCACGACATCGACGGTATGGTTGGCCAAGGATCTTAAGTAAGGCGACCCAAACCCTTGATGTCGATTACATAAGCTTACACGTGACTTAGCAAGAAACGTCTGTACAAAGCGCTGAAGGTACACACCCGCGACGCCGTGTTCGAGCACGAACGTTCCGTGTACGACCACCTCCGGCGGCCGGTACCAACCGAGGTTAAGGAGGGTCAAACGCACCCCGGGCGGGGCCATGTGCGGGCGATCGACGAGGTGTTCATGCTCAAAGGTCCACATGGCGAGCATGAAGTGTTCGTGATGGCGCCGCTGGGCATGAGTTTGGCCACGATGCAAATGCGGCAACGGACGGGCGCGCTTCCGACCATCTTCGTAACGCAGGCACTTTTACAAACTTTGATGGGACTGTCACTCCTCCACGAGGCAGACATTATCCATACGGGTGGGTTCCGTTCTTTAGTTCCTCTTCTTCTCGTGACTTGAGCATCGCCTAATAGCAGACCTCCACGCCGACAACCTGTTGATCGCTATGACGGACGACGCCATCCTGACCGTGACGGAGGAGAACGAGTTCACGAAACCCTCTCCACGCAAAATTGTCGGCGATCGCGTCACACAAGTCTCGCAGTATGTCCTGGGTGGCGCCGGCCCCTTGACGATTAGCGATCTCGGCCAGGCACGCATCGGTAAAGAGCACACGGGCATTGCCATGCCGCTGCAATACCGTGCGCCAGAGGTGATCCTCGGAATGCCGTGGGGGCCGGCCGTGGACCTGTGGAGCATGGGCGTGCTCGCGTGGTCGCTGTTGGAGCCCACGGGTCTCTTTGACGTGTACGCGGCCAACGACGGCGAAGCAAACAACGCCCACCACCTGGCGGCCATGACGGCTCTGCTCGGACCGCCACCCAAGGCGTTCCGCGACAAGAGTATGGCGAGCAGCAAATACTGGGGCGACGACGGCAGCTGGCAGGGAGCGGTGCCTCTGCCGCCGACAAAACCTCTGGCGGACCGGGTCACGACAGTCGACGGCGAGCAAAAGGCCGGCTTCCTCAGCTTCCTCGAGCTGTGCCTGACGTGGGAGCCCGAGATGCGGCTCACGCCCGACCAAATGTACTTTCACCCGTGGCTGCACGGCAAGCCTATACCCAAGGAGGAACAGGAGGAGGAGGCGCACGCTGCTTAGATTCTATTGTAGATGCTTTTACTGTTCTCCCTTGCTACTAGATGCACAATCAATTCTGCTCAATTCTGCTCAATTCTACTCCAAAACGGATAATGTGGCTTAACCGGCTACCTTAACACGACTTCCACATGTCCATGTTTTTGCCAAGAATAACCGTGTATGCGGATTCCTTCTCCGTCCGGTAGCCTTGGCTTTCGGCCATGTAAACACATGGATAGAAGTGCGGCGCAGACGTTGCCGCGAGTGGCTTTGCAGAAGGCGACTTGGGCACTTTGAGACAAGGATGACGTAAAGCACGGATTTGGGAAGAGAGTCCGGTACAGACCCGTATCGTTTCATGTTTTCAGTTAACTCGTGACTTGTCACTCTTTTTGTTTGACCAACAATCTAATTTGTATAGAGTTGTTGCCCTAAGCCGCTGTGGCTGTGTATCCAGATCAATACTACAGGCCAGCATCGCGAGTTTTATAATCACGCCAAGCAATGTAACAAAGTAAGCCAGGCCTAGCTACAATCAATACTTGCAACTGTTTACAATGCCATCGTGCAAACAACACTTCGTCTTGCATTACATGACGTACGTACGGACGGAGAGCCGCAAGGGCATATTCGTATGCACCCATTCGATTATGAGAATACCCGTCTTTCCTATCCGGCCGTGCTTCCTGCCGCGCCTGGTTTGCGTTCATCCGCCCATTTTATCCGGATGATCATGTTCGTGTGCCTGCTTTCCTGTTTGCTGTTGTCCGCTGTGCCTTGTTGTCTGTGATGATTTTTCATCTTTCCATTTTCCCTTGTTCAGTGCGTGTCCACGCAACGTTGATGAGTTGCATCATCGCCATACGACATCCATCGTCCCTTTCATCAACGTCATTCGTTTTATCGTTGGGTCTTTTGTTCTTAGTCTCCCTTGTCGTCTTGTCACTTGCACACTTTTGTATCGACTGTCATGGTGTAGACACCCTGTGCTCTTTTCTTGTTCTCCAACCATCCACTCGTTTCCGTCTCCGTTTGCTTCACGCGACGCCACGCATAATGTGGCTCTCTCTGCTCGTGGCCGCACTGGCCGTTGTGCTGCCCACGCCCGCCCTCGCCGAAAACATCCTCCGCTCCACGTCGCTCAACGCCTGCCAGGACAACTCGCAGTTCACGGCCAGCCTGCTCAACATCTACTACACACCCGACAACGGCTCGGCGTACGTGCACATGGTGGCCGTGTCGTCGATCGAGGGCTACGCGGTATTCGACATTACCATCACCGTGTACGGGTTTGAGTTTCTGCACCGGCAGGTCGACCCGTGCCAGATCGGCCTGCCCGGGCTCTGCCCGATGGTGGCCGCCAAGACAGACTCGCCGCCGTTCAACCTGCCCGTCAACACGGGCGCCGAGGCGCAGATCCCGGGCATCGCCTACACCTTCCCGGACCTGGACGCCAAGGTGCGCGTGTACATCAACATGACGTCGGGCGACCAGGCCAACACGTCGGCGGCGTGCCTGGAGCTGGACGTGTCCAACGGCAAGACGGTCGACCTCGTGGGCGTGCAGTGGGCGTCGGCGCTGGTCATCCTGGCGGCGCTGCTGGCGGCGGCCGTCATCGGCCAGCTGCTGGGCCACTTCAACGCGGCGTCGCACGTGGCGGTCCACACGCTGGCGCTGTTTGGCTACTTCCAGGCGCAGGCCATGGTGGGCCTCTGCGGGATGCCGCTGCCGCCGATTGTGCAGGCGTGGACGCAGGACTTCCAGTGGACGCTGGGGCTGATCCGGCTCGACTTTATGCAGCGCGTGCTGACCTGGTACCAGCGCGCGACCGGCGGCACGCCGTCGCGGCTGTTTGACTCGCTGGCGGACGTGTCGGTGGTCGTGCACAAGGCACGAAAAGCCAAGCGCGCCATCAAGACCAACGGGTCCGGCAGCTTCGTCGTCTTCGGCATCCAGCGCGCCGCCTTCCGTGCCGGCATCGAGCCGAGCAACGCGTTCCTGACCGTGCTGGGCTTCGTGACCGTGCTCCTGGTCGCCGCCGCGCTCGCCGTCCTGCTGACCAAGGCCGCCTGCGAGCTGGCCGTGCGCCTGCAGTGGACGCGCGGCCGCAGCGAGCGCGCCCTGGCCTTCCGCAACGGCTGGCGCACCATCCTCAAGGGCGTGCTGTTCCGCTGCCTGCTGGCCGCCTTCCCGGCGCTGGCCGTGTTCAGCCTCTACGAGTTCACGCAGGCCGACTCGGCCGCCGAGGTCGTCGACGCCGTCGTCTATCTCGTGGCGACCGTCGCCGCGCTGGCCTACGGCGCCTACACCGTCATCCGCATCGCCTCGCGGTCCATCGGCCTGCACCGCAACCCGGCGTACATTTTGTTCTCCGACCCGCGCACGCTCAACAAGTGGGGGTGCTTCTACGTGCAGTTCCGCGCCTCCGGCTACTACTTTGCCGTGCCCCTGCTCGTGCACACGTTCGTCAAGGCCCTCCTGATCGGCTGCGCCCAGTCGTCGGGCACCGCGCAGGCCGTTGGGCTGATTGTGCTCGAGGCCGCCGCGCTGGTCGGCGCCGTCTGGCTGCGGCCCTGGATGGACAAGAGCACCACCTCGTTCCACATTACCATCTGCGTCGTCAACTTTGTCAATGCCGTCATCCTCCTCATCTTCTCCAACGTGTTCAAGCAGCCGGCCCTGGCCACCGGCATCGTCGGCCTGATTTTCTGGGTCCTGAACGCCGCCGTCACCCTGATTCTGCTGCTGATGATCATCGTCACCACCGTCATCATCTTCTTCCGCAACAACCCCGATGCCCGCTACCAGTTCATGGCCGACGACCGCACCTCGTTTGTCAAGTCGCAGGTCCACCTCGCCAGCAATGAGCTCGACGCGCTGGCCGTGACCGCCCGCGGCGAGACGCCCGCGCCGCTGCCCCCCAACAGCGGTCTTTTTCTCGGAGACAAGTCGGCCGCGTTGCACAACAGCGACAGCAACATCCACAGCAACGACAGCAACAACAACAACAACAACCGTCCTGGCGCCGGCGGCGGTCTGCGCGATCGTCTCCTGACGCGGGACGATGCCGACGAGACCGACTCTGTCGTCTCGGACTTTCGCCACCCCAACCTCGGCGGCTACACTGGATACGCCGGCTACGCTGGCTACAGCAGCAACAGCGTGCACGCCCAGCGCCACCGCATGACGCCGTCGCCGAGCGCGCTGAGCCGCGAACTGCGCGACGCTGGCGGCAGCCGCAGCAACACGCCCGCCATGTCCTCGCTGCGGCCCAACCGCGAACGCGACGCCGTTCCGCGGTCGCCCGCCACGCCGTCCGTGCCCATGCTGCCTGCCGACGAGCGCAGTCCTGGCTCGCCCGTGGACGGGTTTGGCGGCCGCCGCAGCGCACGCAACACGCCGACGCCAACACTGGCACAGGAACGGAACAACAACCACAAATACACCAGCCTCAGCATGTCCTCACCGACGCTACCCTCGGGGTACCGCGGCGTGGACAGTGCTGTTGCCGATCTGAGCCGGACACAAAATAATTCGAGGTGAGCTTCTGCATCGCATGGGAAAGAAAGCAACGACACACCACGCACAGGCACTGACAAAACAGCCCGAGTCCGTGGAAGAGAGGCGTTGGGTTTGACAGAACGTGAAGAGGCTGTATAGTACATCATCATGGAAGGGAAGCGGACGGTAATGGAAGGCGTTGTAATGGGCGTGTGATAGACCAACGTTTGTTCATATTTGATTTACGTGGTACTGGATTTAATTGAAGCCAAAATTCCAACAACCGTCATGTACTTCGCACCCACATATGGCACAGCCATGCCACCCCCCCTTGGTCCGCATCTACGACGTCACGCCTGCCGCCGGCCACACCGGCGGCCCCGGCGGCACATACGTCGTCGACGACACCCGGCCCAGGTTCACCAGGATCCCCGGGTCCGTGGCCTTGTACGCCCCCGGGAACGCCACCAGCGGCCCCGGCGTGCCGTCGCCGCCGTTGGTGATGGTCACCTGCGAGCACGCCAGGTAGAACTGCGCGCCGTCGGCCGTCTGCGCCTGGTGCAGCGCAATCTGCTCCACCCGCAGCAGGTAGTCGCCGCTCGGCGTCGCCGCCGGGATCGTCGCATTGGCCGTCTGGTACGTGTTCTGCGCCGCCCACGCGTTGCCGCCCCCGCTGCCGCCCGCGCCCGCGCTCGCCAGCGGCACCTCCGTGTGGAACTTGAACCACACCGCGCCCGCCCCGTCCCACGTCTTGACCGACGCGCCCGCCGGCACCTTGGCCAGGTAGTACTGCGTCGGCCCCGGGTGGTTGACCTGCTGCGTGGCCACGTAGTGCACCGTCGCGCCCGCCGGCACCGACGCCACCAGCGGCGCCGTCTGCGCCTGGTAGCAGCGGATGTCCGCGCTGGCCACGTTGGTCACGCCCGTCTTGCTCTGCGCGTTCTTGGTCATGCGCGTCACCTGCCAGTCCTTGTCTTCGGCCGGCTTGCCGTTGACCACCAGGCGCGGGAACGTGTCTACAGGTCGTCAGATCCAAAACAAGGGAAAAAATACTAAAAAAAAAAAAAAAAAAAAAAAAAAAAAAAACAAAGTCGATGGTGTACATCCAGCAGTACTTACAATGTGCCTGGGCGGCGGCAGCCAGGAGGAAGACGAGAAACTTCATGGTTGCGGTTCTGCCGAAAAAAGGAATGGTGGATGTTGTCTTGGCTTCTCTTCTGTGTCGTTGCAAAAGAAAGAATGGAATGTACACTGGCGAAGACGACGGGAGTCTCCAGTTTTGATATGTGCGGCACCGCTTGGATTCTTGGCCATCCCGTTGCTTCAATCGTGGCAGATTACTATGGAGCGCCATTCGCCATTCCCGCAGGACACTTTATTGACACCAAGAAATAAAGCCTATGGTAGAGGCTGCGTGCTATTGGGCATGTGATATAAATGGCGCTGCAATGGGCTTGATTAAATGCTTCCATTTTAGGCAATGCGGAGGAAGGCTTGGGGTGCTGTAAGTGCTCAACGTCACGGACCCATCAACTGCCGAGAATTTACTTTGCTGCACTCCGTATGCTTTGCCACCAAAATAAAAGAGGACGTGGGGTGAATGATCCAAAGACTTGATTTGCAATTCGAAACAATGATATGGTGAAAATACTCATATTAAATGCATCATTTTGATTAGTGACATCAATATGTACAAGTTCGGCGCCTCAGGCATTGTCTAAAGGCCCAACAGAATTATGTACCGAAGTCTATGTATGTACAAAAAAAAACAGAGAAAACGACGTGCTCGTCCCAGAAGCACACCAAAAGACCAAATCGAAAATTGCCTCGCTTTCTTAACCCATCGGCCTCGTAAGGCCTTATCAGAATTCCAATCTATAACACGGACACGCAAAACGACAAAGCACAAACAAAGCATGCAGTGCAGCAACACACAACGTTACAAAGACGACTCGCTTCCTCGTGAGGACTTGAGATCCGTTTTGCTGTGGTTGCCCTGCTGCCCTCGCTCGTACACGAGCCGCGCCTCGTCGTTGTACTCCGAGCCGTACTCGACGGCGTACGACTTGGAGTACATGATTCCGTTGCTCGCCTGGGCCCCGGCACTGCCCGCCGGGCCCCCCGGCCCACCATGCGACGCGCTGTGTGCATGCGAGCCCACGGCACCGGCGCCATCCCGTGCCCCCCGCGCCGCGGCACTCGCGTTGCCACCACGGCCGTACCGCGTCCCGTCGTGCATCATGCCAATGTCGTCCTCCTCGTCGTGTGCATTGATGGTCGTAATGGTCGTGTTGTTGGTGCCCTTGTGGTGCCGGCTGGACGTCGTCGACACGAGCGGGATGCTGCGGGCACGGCTGCCCATTGCGCCGCCACCGCGCGACACGCCGCCGCCGCCGCCGCGGCTGTTGTTGGGGCCGCCCTGGCTGTTGCCGTTGGGCCCGCCGCTGTTGTAGTAGTTGTTGTAGTATCTCTGGCTGGACGAGCCGAGGACGCGGGGAAAAAAGTGCACGAGTATCAGGCGCGTCGTCGGCAAGCAGGCGCAGATGATGCCGACGTTGATCTCAATCGTCGACCAATTGATGACCTCGTAGTTGTCCCATGTCGGGTTACTCGAGTTGGCGAAATCGAGCAGCGAATGCAGGCGGAGAATACTGACAACCGTGACGCTACACACACGCGCTCATTGTTAGCCGGTGCTGAGCAACACGAACAAACATAAAAGGGAGAACGGGGGCAGGGAGGGGGGCGCCGTACAATGTACCGACGGTAAACATGAAGCACACGCTGAGCTTCTTCTTCCAGTGCAGACGCAGCTTGCGCAGCTGGTACAGCGGGATCGCCAGCATCCAAAAGTCGAGCGCAATGCTGATGGCCGCATTCGCCCAGCCGATCGCGTTGATGTTGAGGCAGTGGCCGGTGTGCTGGCCGTCCCAGTTGGTCCAGTAGTACGAAATGGGGTGGCACTGGAAGATGCCCACCAGAATAAACGTCAGGCCGTAGAGGACAACAAACCCAATGCTGCCCCAGATGACGCGCCGCACGCCCTGTGTCGGGAAAATACGCAGGTAGAAGAACAGGATGGTGAGTTTGAGGAGCGTGACGTCGGTAAAGTAGAGCACCTCGATAATGTAAAAGAACTCGACGAAGCGGTAAATCTCCGCCGACGGCAGCGTCCAGATGTCGCGGCCGAGGCCGTTGGCCGCCAGGCCCTGGATGTTGATGATGCTGCTCGGCACGCCCACCACCGTCGCAATCAGCGCCACCCAGTCGTCCCAGCCGATGCTGCGCGCCACAAAGATGCGGTACGCGAAACGAGCCACCAGAAAGACGCCCGTAATAATGCCGAGCGTGGTCGACGTGGTCCGGAAAACGGCATTCTTGCTGCGGATGGGCTGGTCACAACCAACCGCCGTAATGTTCTTGGCGCCTGTGGGTAAGAGATACAACGTTAGTGATTGTCGTCTGCTTCACATCATGGTGGGCCGTCATAACAAAGCCCAACCACCGTCCCCCATCCTCACGTACTCAGTGCCTCCAATACCGTGCAGTTGGCCAAGATACATGTCGTGGAGTCGTCTTGCAGTTTCGTGTCAAGACACATGCAGGTCGTATTTGTGACGGGGCAGGACGACTCGCCCAGGGACGAGATGAGACATTTGAGGGCGCATGACGGCAGCTCGCCAAAGACGGCGCCGTTGACAGCACCGGCGGCTAGCTGCGGCATCAGCAATGCTGGCAGCAGCAGTGGGAGGATGTGTGCAACGATCTTCATGTTGAATGTGTGTGTTGCGTGGTGTGTAGTATGTGAATAATTATGTACCGTTCAATAAGACGGGATAATATGGTGAATCCTGATGTTGTGCCGTTTCGGCTCGGCTGCGTTGGCGTGCAGAGGTGGCATGCAGTGGCAATGCACCGTTGTTGTTGTGATGATGCACGGCGGGTGTGAAAGGCAAGAGGGCCGGCTCTCACCGGAGAGCGAAAAATCTGTGAGGACAAAAACGATCACCCTTTGATGATTACCGTCGTGCTGTTGCGTTTGTTCGGAATATGCCACGACGGTGGGACGGAAGGAAGGACAGAAAAAACGGAACCAAAGAAAGAGAGAAATATTAAAAACAAAATAACGGTTAAAAAAAGATGGGAAACCAAGGAGCAGGCTGAGACTCCAGGCCTGCTACCGCAAGATATAAATTGTATTAATGAATAGGAAAGCCAGTCGAAGATCCAGAACGATCAAAATGTAACATGGGCACTCGACGGTTCATAAGTATTTCGAGAAAGACACAAAACAATGGAACAAAGTGAACAAGGGTGTCGTATGAAAATCAAAATGGGTAACAAAGACAGGGAACATATGCTCGGGATCTCGTACCTCGCACTACCGAGTCTGGCTCGCTCCAAGACTACTTCGTATGCACATCCACAGAAGCTATGAGATGGTCTCCCCTCGTGGATCCTTGTGAGGACCTGCATGCACAAGTCTCCACTCACACAAATAGATGTGCACAAGTATCGCGACTTCACAAAACGTCCCCTATTGGAGACGCCAATTCCCTGTAGCAGAAACTGGACTTTGAGCTAGTCTTAGTTGATACGGAGTAGTGGCAGGGGTTTCAAACTAAAAGGTCGAATGGGAAGCGGGCAGAAGGCTCCAACGAGAGGGGGGTGTGGAAAAAGTGAAAAGACAACCAAAAGACAAGAGGAGAGAACAGTGACAGATCCAAAAGCATTAAAATGACATATAAAATCAAAATCGAGATGAAAAAGAAAAGAAAAAAAACGACTCCTGCTTGAACGAGACTCCAGAGGTTGAGAGTGGCATGTGGACTACCACAGGCTACCGAGATCCAGCAACGAGAAGGAAAGAAAAGAAAAGAAAAGAAAAAGAAATATAACGTAACGGGAAAACCCCCATCATCGCGAAGGGATGAGAAGACAGAAGTCAGGTCTAAATCGATGCCGTGAAGCAAAAACAACAAAAAAGTTGACTGAAGACATGGGAAAGCAGGAGGTCTCGCTCCGCATACCCCAGATGCCATGTGCGTGACTGCCATGAGCTGACGCCGTCGTACAGCGCCATACTCATGCGTACGGGTCTCGATGTCGTGGTGCCTGCTGAAACCAGGCGTGTATTCTGTACTCCGTGCATGTATTCAACTTACCTCTACGGTACTTGTGTCTTCAGGAGACCGTTGTAATGTACTCCGTACTCCACAGCTATCCATCGTGAGACGTGACAGGAGGCGGGCAATTGGAACACTAGACAACATTAGAGCCACTGAGCAAATGAAGCGCAGGTGCATGGGTGTCAGAACAGTAACTGGTCGTGTGCTTCCCATGTCGCGCTCTGTAGACTGCCTGTGTTTGGGAGGGCGGTGTTGAACCGCTGGTCATTGGAAAGTGGTCTCGCCCCGCCCTCAATGGCAGCCGGAAGCATTCCAGAGTATCTCTTTGGAGCAGGGTTCTTGCGGTGCTAACCTCGTCGCATGTACCCTTCGCTCTCGGTGGTTGACAGAAATGTTATTTGCGATACTGATGTGCCTTTTTGTGTAGATTGGTTGAACCGCTCGTGCATCGTCTCGCCGTAACCGTCTGTCACTCACTACCTCCAGGTTTGTGCCAACAGTACAACTGTCCAAAGGCCCGTAACGGTCTTTCGTGACGTGCGGCAAGCTCCACTTCGTTTTAGGACCAGGAAATTGCTTTAGTTTCGCGACAGGATGAGTGGTGCTGGTTAGTCTTGATGGTGGCGAAAGCGTCCACAGCCAGAAAAAAAAAAAAAAACCGCTTGTCCCTCGCTGGCGCGACAAAGCGTGGTAGAGCGGCGTAATCTCTTGCAATGGCTGCGGCTGCCAAAAGATTCTCACTTCTTTCGTTGCTGGCCGTCAATGTCTCTTTGTAAGTCATGCATGTGCCAATATTGTTCCAAAAGCAAAGAACAAGTTCTGCTTAACCGCGACGAAAGAAGTGATAATACCGCCCTCTGGTCTTCACGTGTGATGCAACGCTGGCCTGGGGAGAACAGAGGAGAGCGCCAGTCAGTTTCCGCTTGTCTCTTACCATCTCTGTATTGTGCCTGCACGGCAACTGTTCTTGGTTAGCCTATGGTCTATGGTATCGGATTTTGCATGTGTAAAAGTGAGCGACACCTATTCAGCGTTAATGCAAATCTGCCTTCCCCGCCCACATGTAAAAAAGATGGAGTCGAGTCTGATCAAGCCTTTCAACTTTTGGGTACTTCTTTCAATTTTGTGGGGAAAATGTGAGTGATGGAAAACGCGGAACGAACCCGACCAGTCACGAAAATGAGGGGGGGGGGATTCACAAGCGAGGAACGGGACGGACAAGGTGGAAAAACGAAAACGAAAACATTCCGTTTGCTAGCCGAAGATGTTTCCATTGTCGCATCTGACTGTGCATATTTGGACACATCACGGCCGTCGTGAAGTCATCGCTGCCGTCTTGAAGGCAACCCTCAGGGCCAGCGGAAAGGAGACAGGTCAAGATTCCACGTCTTGGTTTCATTTCTGGTCCTGTTCGCTCTGTTACAGGGCGTGCTGGCTGCATCCCCGTCTGCGAAACCGCTGTACACTGTTGCTTCTATTTTCGAATATGCTGTCACGCAAACGGCCTGCTGGCGTTGCATTCTTCTCCAGTCGCTGTGGCCTTATCACGGCAAATTCCAACTTGTACTGGATCCCTGAACAAAGTAACATCCCGTAGCGTTTCATTCTGCAACCTGCGACGATGTGAGGGATCCCTGACCGAATCGACTTTGATGAACAACGATGGCCAGGGTTGGCTTGGACAGCTTGGTTGGGGGGAAACACGGTGGGCCTGCGCTGTAGAGAGGCCGACAACGAGTGCCAGCCAGGGGGATGTGAAAGGCTGTGGGAAGGATGTAAAAGGCGCACAAGGGTGTCAACTGTCGCTGTCTCGTAGGGATGAAGGAGGTGCCTCGGTGAAGCCCCATAAAACGTCTCAACAAACAGAAAGGGGAAAACGAGGGACAGATGCGAAAAAGGAGGCGGCCCAGTCATGGAAGCGAAATCGAAGCCCGTTAGTTTTGTCACCGAGCCAAGGGAAGGAACGGCCAGGTCAGGGTACCTTACATGGTAGAAGGACGGCAGTTGCCAAAACCAAGTTTGTGCCGTCCCAAGTGCGCTTTCCCAAGTGTGTGCTGAAGGGAACAACACTACGCGGTCGCAACTACCTAAAACGGCAAGTATAGAACGTTTTTCTATTAGTTCGACTTGCTGGTACGCTGGTAAGGCAAGCGGGACAGGATACCGGGTCTGTGGCCCACCAGAAATCTTCTTGTAGTTTTACTTGTCTTTTATATCCGGAATTGCATCTGCAACTTTGGTGCAATTTTCGTTTTGGAGCATTGTAGTCCAATAAACCGCTGAAAAGCGGGAGCAAGAGAGCGTTTTTATTTTTATTTTTTATTTTGTTGAGCTAGCTCTAGGCCTCGTTTGTTCCTTCCCGTTACAGCTGCCGGAGAGTCTCTCGTCATAACGCTCGGGCGCCTTCTCCATTCTGCACAATAGTCAAATAGTCAACTACGAGGCCAGCCTCGCTTTCCTTTTTTGGAATTGACGCTTGGCACCATTCGTGCCTGCCATGACTTTGGACGTCTGCTCAATCTTGTACGAATGTGGTCTGTGTTGCTGCAGAAGACCGCGTCTTGGGCAAGAACCGTCACGCTGCAATAAGTCAATTCGACAAAACACCACATTTCTCGCTTGTTTTTACCCTTCTCTCGCCTTGGCTCCCAAACCATTGCGATATTGGCGACATCGGCGATGCTGGACGGCCCACGTCGTGTGCTACCTCCACCAAGATGCCCATAGCACAGGTCTTGCTTCCTGCTCAAACTTGTGCGCTATTGCATCTGGGCAGAGGCTTTCTAGTCCACGGCTTCTCAGGGGAAAGAAAAGTCAAATAAACCACCTTTTTCCACAGTGGCGGCCGTTGCAAGCGACCGCGAAAGTAAGCCATCCCTGCCACACTGAACGTTATTCATCCGGCTGGCACTGCCCGCCAGCATGCCAGACTACCGTATCGCCTATTGGTTTCCCGAGGCGAGGCCGTACTAAAGGCCCCAAAATGACGAGACTGATGACGACTAACCTATTTCAAGCAAGGTCTGTGGCGCTTCTTTGCGTAGTCGAGACGGGGTCTGAGACGGGCCTCGGTCACTTGCCCTCTCGCCTCCCCTATTCTCCGTCAATTGCGCCGCAGCTGCTCCGTCGCTAGCTACAAGTCCTTCGGGGAACGGGAAGATATTGGCAGCATTTTGATGAGCAGCATATGTTCAGATATCAAGACCTAGGTCTTCCGGAGGCAGACTCGAATACTTACTCGGAACAGCGTATGTTGCGGTCGTTGGAGAGACGATTGGAGCGCAGGATCTCCTTACAATCCCACGAGAGTGACAACACACTCGCTCTTTTAATGTCTCTATTCCAAGAGTCTGCCGACGTGTTCTCTCTGCTTTTGCTCCTGAATTCTGATGCCGACGACAATCCTGACCAAAGCGTTTGGACTAAACGCAAGCACAAGTAATCGAGGACCAGCATGTAAGCCATATGCGTCGAGCCGTTGTGCTTGACAGGTGTATATACATGATCGACACCGCTCGCTACATTTTGGGCGAGCCAGAGCCTTAAACCAAGACAACAGTCGAGTCCGTGTGTTGAACACAGTCGTTTACGGAACGCAACCCAATACCGTAGTATTGACCGAACATCATGTTTACTGAACCTA